CTCGTCGCTGCGATCGATAGGGCACCACCCGTAGCAGAGAAGTTGCTGAAGTGAATTCCGATACCACGGGACTCTGTGACCAAAGGAATAGATAGAAGAAGCTCGGGTTAGAAGATAGAATGAGGGAGGGCACCAGCGGTGGCTTCGAGCCGACGGTCGGCCGGCATGAATAGATAAATCAATCTGTCAATACAATCTGCCGCTGCGAAACGTCCGCCCGGGCGCTCGCTCAACTCCTGCTGAGTGACGGGATGGATGGAAGCAGAGATAGAGATGCAAACCCCCCTCCTTCGTCGTTCGTCATAGGTTAAGTGTCTTCATCTGATTGACTACCTCGGGCTCGTTCGCCGGCAGACACGCGATTCGTGGCAGCGGAGGAGACGATATTCGAGATATTTGTCGGCTTGCCCGAGAGACTCGCGATCGGAGCCCGTCCCGGGAACCATCCGATCCGATAACCTCTGGGTCGATCGACGTGAGAGCTTCGTGGAATTTAAGGTTACGAATTCCCGGAACGGTTTTCATTGTCCCTCTTGTTGTTTCGAAGTGGAGAGTGACGCCACATGAGATCAAGCCCGGAACAGCAGACTGTAAAAACAGTTCCCAACGGACATATAAACGGAAAAAAGCAGCCAGAGGAGCGTGAATAAGGCTTTCACGTTATTGCCAATTTAAGTCTTTCTCTAGCCGTTGTATAACGGCCGTGTAGTACCGTTTTATGACATCGCTTATCTTTGCCGCCAGCTGGAATCACCACCGGCATGGATCCAGGCTTGGAAGGTCTACGTCGAGCCCCATTGTCACCCGTTTTCGTCGTCGGCTCAGAGGGACCGCGTCCTCGATCGATTCGGTCCGATGTGCTCTCGAGTACCGAAACTCGGAACTTATGCGATCGGATCCGCTGCCCGGGTGTCGTCGAATGCGCATCAGTGGATGTTCCAGCCCCGAGAGCTGGTTGTTGCCGCCATGAGCCGAACGTGGAAACAATTGCGCTGTCCGACTACATATGCGAATGAGTCAAGGTAAGAGAGATCAATTTTATGCGACATTTGGCTGACCAAACGTTGGAACGGAGCGGGAAAATAGACCGTCACAATTGTATTCGGAGCACATCCGAACGGTCAACCGAATCGGACTGGGCGATGACGTTTGGATGGACTGACTCGATTCTCATTAAATACCCGCCACCAGGACATCCACGTAGGGGAGGCCCTGCATCCGAGGGCTGTCACGAACGAAGTTCAGGGATTTCCATTCTCGTTCATGCCGCTCGAAATGTTTCGATTCGGAGCGCCATCGGCACTCATAAGCAACAAGCCAGGATGAGATCGCGAGAAAGTCGCTCGTCGTTTCCATTCTCCGGTAGGAGAGCCCGCCTCGGAGGAAGATTCAGGGAAAGAGGTCGTCACACTTTTGGATAGCTCCAAGACCAGGTCGCTGGCTGAATGGCCCGACTGCCTGGTAGCTGGCAGGCTGGGTGGTTGGTAGGCATCGATCGATCAGCGAAAAGAGCGAAGAAGAGTAGAAAAGCACTGAACCGCGAAATATCCCGATGGGTCGTAAGTGCGGTGCGGGCGAAGAGGAAGGATTGGAAAGAGAAACTTCAGATTGAAGCTGCTCTCCGCCGAACTACTTTACCACTACAAGCTAGTCGGATAGGTGATCTGGGAGAGATTCTTCTCGTTCCGCGCCGTTCCCCCGTTTCTGCTCCGCTATGAAATATGTTGCGAATCTAGAACACTGATTTATCCTACTGGCGAGGAAGAACCCGAACGAATCGTTCCCGATACAATTCCGAGCGAGGAGCCCGGATCCGCGTCCGAACGTCGAGTTCTCTCTGAAAACGCGCTGGACTCGGCTTGGCTGAATGATGCTTAGTTAGAGGAACTCGATACAACGGGCGATCGGTGAATTCAACGCTGCGACCGGTCTGCATGACGGGACAGTGAACTGTGGCGCGTAATATGGCGTTGAATGTATTCTTCAGAAACTCCATCCCTGATCTTTTCCGCGATTCGAAGCCCCGGTGGGACTCTGAGCGGTTGCGGAACAGAGATGTCGCTGCTCGTCGCCGCCGAAGTGCAGTTCGTGGAAGAGTCGGGGATTCGACACCCCGATAGGAACACTGGTATCGGCCCGGGGAGCGAAAGCCATACGTGGACTTGAAGCCCAAAATTGAAAACCTGACGAAGCATGTGACAGATCCTCTCTTATTTTTAAGATAAATGAAGCAAACAGAGAAATTGCTCCCCGGCCCATTGCTGTTTCATGGAAACGCGTCTCGTCCCTCCCGGTGTTTTTCAGCGAGAAATTCTTTTCAGCACCTACATGGTTCTTGTCTGAGAATCCTTGGTGCGTATCGTGTTCCTGAAGGATCATCCGCGGCCGAGTCGTCTTTCACTTCGCCCAATCAAGCACCCTGTATCCGAAAGCCGAACCAGATCCTTGGGACTCACGTCACGAGACGAGCGCAGCGACTGAGTCGAGTTCGGAGAAGATTTTCAGACTCTCGACTCTCGAACTTCCGTCTAGAACTCGCGCGGGTAAAAATTATCTCACAGTCAAGGGAAGCGGCTGCGTTCATGTCCCTCGCTGGAGGCACAGGGGCAGGCTGCGTGGTGTCCGGTCCTTAATTTCCCCGCGAGCGTCCAGGAGACCCATGACGTCAGTGACAGCGCGTAATACACAAGAGAAGCGGACCTCGGAGATTATCCGACCCCTACTTTTCTTCAAGTTGCGGTGACATCACCGGCTACGGAGCTCTCTCGTCGAGTTCTCTCTTTAAGATCAGCTCCGAGCGATTCGGATACGGGAGGAGTTTGTCATCAGCGACGGCGCATGGCTCAGGCGCGCCTCACGCATTCTCTATCCAAACGAAGATATCTCATCTATCAGAGGGAAATCGTGCATCGGAGAGCGCGATGGGGATGGGGGGAGGGGGCTGAGGGGCGAAAGGATGAACAGCAATAGACTGTTTCCGGACTCCGTGGTCAAAAAGCATCTTCAGCTTGTGTACTCAAGCCGACATGGATCAGAAGCGAGTTTTTCGCTTTCTATACCGAGCTCGGGCTTCTTTCTCCTTCTCGCGATTTGAGCCCTACAGCTCTATCATCAAAGAGCTCGTCGTATGACGAGAAGTTGCCGCCGGAGGCGATTGTGGTCGAAAGAAAAGGAGCGCCGGCCGCTATTGTCGGCCGGGGGACTCCAACTTGGAACAATGACTGCTCGGCTCAGCGAGTCCACTCCAGTTCGGAGCGACGACACTCCGAGCTGAGCGGCGGTCTCTTCTCTGAGAACGACACCTCGACTTAACCTGACAAGCGACAACCCACGAGACGATCCACTGAATAATCATCCCTGAATAATATTCTGGTTCCGATCTGGAATCCCGACGATTCGTAACCATTGTCATCCCCGACTTGAGGTCTTCCGTCGTTCGAGCGCTGAGCGGGATTTTGGGCGTAGTCGTCGCTTCAATTGAGAAATCTCACAAGAAACCGCTCTGTGCAGCGTAAAGCCTCATCGTGGCACGAGCTCTGAGAACGATGCGATCCATACCCCGATGCCGCACCGAGGAGGGGTGAGCCTCCCATAGCTTCGCTCGAGCGTGGCTACCAATCTCCTGGAATCTATGGTCTGCATAAGCTATAATAACGGCTTATAATCATTATAGGCTCAATCAGAGGCTGTACGTTGAGAACGCCCGCTCGACTTATTCAGATCACGTTGCGTTTTATGGGGTTGGCCCGCTAGTCGCTCCATCTGTTCGTTCGCCAGCCTTTCTGCATAATTTGACACAGCCGCCGTCGAATATCCAACAAATGAATGTGCTGCCAAACCATGAGGCCGAAGCAGGTATATGGAGCGGTTCTATATTCAATTTATCAACAACGCACCCGAGTGATACGTCATTAAGGTCCATCCGAACCCCGAGAGAAGATTTCGTGGAGCTTTCTACGTGAGAGGACAGATTCCCGATACGAGCAGATTGAACGATGACTCACCGTTGGAAGGGAATCGAGAGCACGAATCTCTTGAGTCTCGGCGACGAGACTTCTCCGCTCCTCGATAGATGGAAAAATCAACATAGAACTTCGTGAACTCGACCACGAATAGGAATGAAAGGCCCGAAATGTGACACCAAGTAACTCTATCACGGATCCTGCGGAAACTTGGGAAGCCCAGCTTTTTCGGCTTTGACCCTCCGGAGTTCTCTCCCTTGACCCTTCCGGTGCGGGCGTACTCAAGAAGGCAGGTCGGACTGACAAACTTTGTGAGCAATCCCGCTCATGAGCGGAATCGTCTCAGTGTCGCTTGGATACATTATCTCGGACTGGACACTTGAGACCTCAAGGGATGAGGGAAAATCCCATCAAGTCAGGGAATAAGCATAAGGGAGAGAGAACTGGATCTTACATCCTTTGCCGGAGGAATAGTTGCGCTTTCCTGAATTTCCCGCCAGGATTGCGGAATTCCATATACGACACGCGCGGAAAATGCAGGTATTGCCGAGACGGAAGTCGTCGAAGCCTTGCGTACTTGGGAAAGGGATCGCTCGATTAGAATCGATCAACCATCGAACGATCGGGACCTCCGCTGATTCTGGAGATGTCCAAGCTCCTCAGGACCTCCGTTCGAATAATTTTGAGCATTCCAGCCGATGAGCGAGCGCCCTTTCCCGTAGCGTGACTCTGAGTTCGCGTCGCATTCGAAGTACCCGATTACAATTTTCGGAAAACCCCGGAATGACCCACGAGACGATGTTCAACCATGATCTGCCCGGAGGTCCAGCTGAATCGAGAGTGGCAAGGATACAGGAGCAGATTCTTCGGAACCACGAGGAGAGCCCTCAACACCGCGTACGTAGGTGACGCCCGGTCGCAACCTGCTGAAGACCTCGACGAGATCACGCGCTATTCGGGAGGCTCGGAAGCTCCGCATGCGACCGACGTGGTATCAGAGTAGTGGATTAAATTTTTGAGAAATAAATAGAAGATTGCTTTTATTCCCTGCTCATCACGATGCTAAATTGGTTGTACCGATCAGCTTCTGATAGTAAACAAATCGTCATGTTCGTCCATCATTAGCATTTATATCCATCGCGCGATGCAATCAACTGCATTTGTCCGAGTCCCTTGAGCTATCTCGGCTCGGCATATGGCTGGCGGTGTTCGAACGAACGCTCAGTTATTCCCACTACGAGATTCACAGGCGACAATTTTCACCGTGTCGGCTTTCACAATTTCTTGGATTTCTCGAAATTCGACATTCTTCAAAACTAGTGTCCACACATTATCACAGAAACGATAAGTGCTCAGACGACCTGCCTTGAACGAGAGACGACTCTTGACGCGCGTCGCAAACACGTTGCTGATCGATTTGTCGAATTGCGAAAGTACCTGGCAAGCCAGAGCTTGAGATATTTGTCCGGACGCAACAAACTCGTCAAGAGCTTCTTGCAGAGTGTGCCCGAGCGTGGTTGTCCTGTAGAGTTGGTAACTCATCCTAAATCGATATCTGACTCGTAGAGATGGATTCACGAAGGAGAGGGTCGGAGTCCTCAAGACACTCTGAACGACGAGCTTCTCAGTTGCTTGCTCCAGCTACTCCTTGGAAACTGGAAAACGATGGATCATTGCTGATGGCTGGTGTCGCTCAATCCGGACACGCTGCGAACGGGGTCGAGTTCGGAGAGGGAGTGTACACCGCGATACCAGACAGAGACGCTTGGCTCTCGCGCGCCCCACTGATGCAAGCGGAACACACGAGCTGAGGATGTAAGATGGCAAGGAGCCGACAGGATGAACTCGTCTGCTAGCGCAGGAGGGTTTCGTAGAGGGTGCCGCCGCCGGAGGACCAGATGAGCCAGGGGGTCCGTAAGAGCTTCAGAAGTCTAAAACATAAGTTCGAATCCGCGGCTCATCCGTAAGTCGGCGTATTTATTTGGGAGCGTTAGTCTCTCGACGCGCTCGAGCCCCTCGAGGTATCTAATCGATGGGGCCTGAAGCTGAACCCGTGGGTTTGAGCCAGAGAGAACTTCGCCGATTCAAAACCTGAAGTTCTGTCCTCGATGTAATAAACATCTCAACTCAAGAAACGAAAGCGTACATAGCTCATAGCTGTTTGTGGACAGAGCGAGGGATTACGCAATGATAGGTATACCTATCTGGATTCTAAGCTGTTCTCGATGAGACGGCCCGGACGGAGCAAGTTGGGAGTAGCTTCGAAATTCCTCTCTTCGCTCCCCCAGCATGATGGGGAATGCGTCGGGACTATCCCAACAAAATACCGCGAACCTTCGGGAGGAACTGGATCTCAGACATACCCAAGCAAGAGATCGAAGGAGACCGGTCGGGAACACATAGTCGGTCTAATAGACGAAGGAAACACGCTCCTATCGCTTTCCGGGGCGTTACGCATGTGGTGCATATTACGGGCCGGCTGGTCTTCCATGATTGCGCGCCCGATGGCGAGATCAGGGAGGCGGTTGATATTCAAGGCCCACAGTTCACCGCTGGGGCATTTGTTGACTCACGACCTTTTTCCCATGCCGCTCTCACTCTCGATGGACAATGTGCAGTCCTCAACCTTGTTCTCTATCCGAGTAGCTTGGAATCATTTTGTGATTCCCTAACTTTGAAGAGCACCCGTCACTCCCGACGCCTCCACAGTCCATCTAGAATGAAGAGCTCTCCGATCCCAATGTCGATAATATCAGTTCGAGTTCATGGGTGGCACCGTAGATGGGAGCGTATCACCGAACGCCCGTGTCTCATTTACTTGAATGATCTCATTCCAAATGAATGGTCCCGACAAGGCTCGTCCCGATCCGCGAGACTCAGGATTGCATCATTGACATATTTCAGAGAGTTGTGTCGCGCTGTTCGCCGAATATGCGTGAAGCCCTCCTCTTCGCCTCACTGGAGGATACGTTGGGCGCCGAACTCGAAGATACGTTCATCCGCCGTCAGCTGTTCCGTGTGTCGTCTGTCCGTGCGTGGTCGAATTCGTTAGTCCTGCCAAGTGAGTGTCTCTTTTGCGTCAACCACGAATGCGAGATTCTCCGGATCCCGAATCATAGATGGTGTAATGAAATAGGTGATTCTTGCTCCGATAATCATCATCATCAATCGCTCCGGCACTATCCATTGAGCGATGATCCTCAATTTTTCGTGCGGTATTCCGGCTCAGGTTCATGAACTAGCGGTGTGACCGCTCTCCCCTCGACTCGGGTGATTCCGCCGTTCCGTTCCGTCAAGTTCCCTGTCGAGACTGGAGGAGACAGGCGATTCCAGGGCTATGCGCGGAATCCGGCGCGCTTGCAGGCCTGGAGCCCGTAATTGTTGTCAGAGCTCAGAATCTGTTCTGAAGCGGACGCTCACTGTCTGGGTTCCTCCGTGATTTCCCTCGACCACAGCATGTTCACAGCGGACATCTTTTCGCAGACCTCATCTAGGCTGAACAAAATCGGATATGGAACTTCAGAGAGTTGTTCAAGTGCTACGACGTTTCGCTCCTCTGGAATTGGCAGAGAGCTGGGACAACGTAGGTCTCTTGCTCGAGCCTTCCAATTCATTGATAAAAAAGGTAGGCAGAGGGATGGGGAATTCAAAAAGGTTGAAAATCATTTCCCTCGAGACTTGTTCTTTCTCATCGAGAAACTCCTTCCCGATAGGTCTTCCTGACCAACGACCTGACGGAACGCGTGATGGAGGAAGCAATTGCGTGGAAAGCAAACATGATCATCTCCTATCATCCACCGATATTCTCAGCCTTCAAAAGACTGGACCAATCGAACTGGAGGTCCCGCATTGTCATAAGTTAGTGTCAGCGACGATTGACTCCAGAGCAACGATCTGTATTCATGTTTCCAAATACGCTATTTTCTGGATTATAAGTTATTCGGAGACGGTTCCTTTCAGAATGTTTAGAGAATCGAATTGCCCTGTACTCGCCCCATACCAGTTGGGACTGCGTCAAGGGCGGCGTGAATGATTGGCTCGGCAAAGCTTTTTCGAGTCGGCTCCCTAGTAGGGTGAGATCAAAAGTGGTATCTCGATTTCGGAAATTATGTTCGCTCCCGGGGCTAGAATCGTGTCCTCTCTTGCTCAGGTTGACTTCATCAGTCCCTTCGACAAGGGGGAAGGAATTTCAGGCGGACCTGGTAGGGTTATCACCCTAGAGCAACCGATCGATTTCAAGGTAGGGATATATGTGGAGGGATCTCCTCCAGCAGCCGTGACCAGTCGTACGCCTTCACCAGCCGTACGCCCCTGGCCGTGACCAGTGTCGTGCCCGGGGAGGAGGGCGGGGGACCCGAGCTCATAATCATCGGTGGTTGGCCCCCTCAAAGATGATGCCCCTGCCCCTCTCCTGTGAAAGAAAAATCCTGGGCACGCGCCTGGCCGTGACATTCGCCTGAACCGGAAAGCTCATGTTTTGGAATTTTCCAGCAAGCGATCAATCTGGTGAAATCACATCTCAAGCTTACCGCCGTGAGGACTTCTAAGCCCGCGGTGGAGAAGAGCATCAAAACTATCGGTCTCTGTGCGGGCAGCGGCTCAGCAGTCCTCCAGCAGGCCCATAGCGCCCAGCCTTTCGATCTCCTGGTCACGGGAGGAATGGGACATCACGACGCATTGGAGGCGGTTCATCAGGGTGAGTCAATCGGGGACCTTCTGATTAGGGGTTCTCGGACAACCTCTAGACTGTTTTTCCGCGTAATTGGAATTCGTGAATACCACCGGTCACGCTCTATTCTCAATTCTTCCAGGCAGCTACGTCATCCTTAGCGAACACTCAGACACAGAACGAGGGTTCCTCCATGATTTCAAGGTGAGCCCTCGATGCGAGTGATCTCGAATTCCCATGCGATCGATCCGTCTTATCATTAGGATTTCTCCCGTTCCAGGAGAAATTGAGAGCGGAAGTCCCTGAACTAGAGGTCACTGTTTCGGTGATCGACGAGGACCCGATGAAAACAGACGGCCCATAGAGTTGACGGAAATCTGTGCAACCTAGAAATCCCGATAAAAACCTTTTGCTCCTCCCGAATGAACAATTCGCATTATTCGTCCGATGGAATTATCCTCGGCAGACATTCCACCTAACCTTCAGTCAACTCAAGGCACGAAAAGATTTGTCGAGAGAACGTCTATTATCGGATGCAGTCGATCATGATGACTCAATTTCAACGTTCATTCGATGCTCTAATAGCGATCCGAAGTGCGCCGATATCATCCTTCCGTCGGTTCGGGTGCTCCGTATATGGTACTTTGTTGTCGTTTGCATGTTGCCACAGCGAGCGGAGCTTCCACTACTACATTGTGGCTCGGCCTCCGCGTGACGTCATCGCCGGTCTGGGTCAAGGCCAACCAAGCAGATTATCGGGCCAAGAAGCGACTGGCTGAATGAGCGTACATGAATTAGATCGCTCGCTGGAAGAGGATTGAGAGTTCTCTTTCTATCTTACTCGGGAATCGATATATGTATCGACAGCTCCCTGACTAGTTCGACGAGTGACCGTATGAAGATCAAGTTCAGCACATCGTTCGCCGCCAATAGCTCAGTCAGCTGATCAAAAGCAGACGGGATCACGACGGCTCCGAGGACCCCGAGTCGCGATAGGTCGCCCGATGAGCGAATGTACGGAACGGTGTCCTGCGCGGCGTCGGCATTAGTCTCCGAGAATCCCGCTCCTCCCGTGGCCTAGCGGCGGACAGATGGGATACCTGTCGCTCTGCACTAACCCCCCACGATCGCGTTCGCTTGCTGTCTCTTTTCGCTCCCGACACTCGGACCGAGTAGCGTAATCTAGGCTCCGCGGAACTCGCAGCGCTCGGAATCCGTCCGAATGAGCAAGGGTAAAGCCGCGATATGCATACGTGATGTGACCGCGAAACTCGCCTCGCTAGAGACACATTCAGCATCACAAATCACCATCGAGGCCGAGAGGAGGCAAGGAAACATGGAAAAGTACGACAGTTCATCCCATGATGGCAGTCGACGTTGACATTTACCCTGCCAGCCGTAGTCGTTTTTCTGCATTCCGCCCGCTGTGGCCTTCAGAACAAAGGACTCTAATCGTAGCGGTGGCAGCAAGCGCTGCGACAACAGATGGTCATTAGCGCTCCGAATGACTTCATTCATTAAGTTGCCAACTCTTCGAAATCATGAGAACCTTCCTTCCGTTTTTCCAAGCCCCTGTTCGTGAGCGCGCCGGGTCGACTGGCTCCCGGCTATCTCGATCTCTACTGTCAACGCGAGGGAAAGCCATCGGAGCCGGATTTGAAGCCCTGCAAGGGAAGATCCGGCTCTTCCCCGAGACCAGATTCGTCGAGGCTGGACCGGGGAGAAAATCCGATCCATGCGAAATCTCTGCGGATTCGAACGCTGAAGTTCACAGTGTTCCGATCAACCCGTCCGAAAGTAACACCTGCTGATCATATTCATAGCTCAGAGGCGAATCGTTGGAGGGTTGAGCCAACGTCCGGCATTCGGACGCTGAGTACAAACTCTAACATCGAACATCTGCGTCGAAATGGATCCATGGCGGAGGAGAAAGATCTCGAGATGTGGTGGGGCGGACAGCATCTCTCTGAGGTTCTCCTCCCGCTACCGCTCGTCGTGTGTGTGCTCGTTGATGTTTGCTCGTAAGATTCAGAAACGGAAGCCAAAGAAGAGAGAGGCGGTCCGCGCCAGCTGTTAATACCGTTGCTGCTCCAATAAGAAAGCTTGCACACTTCACCTACGATGAGGGTATGCATGCGCTAGCACAAAGCACTAGCGGTGGCGGTAGTCGTCGTCTACGACGATGATGGCGTTGTGGTGGCGGGCGGGCGGAGGAGCTGCTGGTCTAGCAGCTGCTCGTCGGGAGCCCGTTGTGATCTACCGAATGGCAGCACCAGCAACCAAGATGGCGCTGCTTGAAAAACATCGCACTTAACAACACAGGGAGGCGAGCTTTGCTGAAATTTCGTGAAATCCGGTGTGCGGACGGAAGAAAACGGGCGCCGGAGCTCCAGAGCCTTAAGGCGTCGACGCCCCATCGAGTGCCTGGAGCTGACACAAGTTTAAAATGCGCAACTCGGCCAGTGGCTCGGTCCTGCCATCAGCAGCAGCAGCAGCAGCCTTGAGAGCTCCGCAACTAAGCTGGCCACTACTGCTGACCCCTGAATAAGAGGCAGCCGTTCAAAACTATTGAGAGACTAGGTGTGTATGCGGTGTTGAACAAACGTCTGTCAAGAATCGGTCCTTCCGTTCGAATTCGGCATCCATCGCGACACGGGCTCGCTTGTGAAATCGCTGCAATGATCGTAAATGATGTTCAAACAGAGACTTATCAGCCTCCCCATAACGTATCATCATGATGTGAAAGCCAGAGGCTTCATTAGGGTTTTCGTTGATCGGTCGAGTGCACGGCCCTGTGCTTCTTCGGATCGGAGTTTGTGCATTGCAAGGAAGTGAAGTGTTGGTTTTCCCCGTGCTCGTCGCTGAATGTTCCGTGAAGCCTATGCCACTGCAGCCCCCATTTGTGCGCCCGCATCACCGAATCATATGAATTGAGTATGCTTTGAGAGCCTTGCTCGGCGTTCCGCGTTGTACCCGCCAATTATTGGAACTGCTATCGAATTGGCCCGGAAGAATCTTTGGGCGGCGCAGGTGGCTGCTGCCGCCGCCGTGTATACAGTCTGCCGATCATAGGCCCACTAGAAGTCTGACTGAGGTGTTTCCGACCTTAACCTTGACTCGAATATTTGAGCGGCACTTTCGAAATGGGTCGACTGTCCTGGGAACCCTGTCGGCGGTGTTAGGGAACGTCGAATCCTAAATGGATTCTGTGATTAGACTAAGCTTGAGCACGAGCTTGCTTCGGAGCGGAGAGCTGTAGGAGGACGCTGTGTGAAATTTCCGCGGGACCGGACTCGCACTGCTGTGATTGCGGCTGAGAGTCCCCCGCAGATAAGCTCGATGTCTATTTAGATTCTCGATTTTCTGTTCTCTTCTCGAACGGGACAGCCTCATCCGTTGGAACGTCAACCTGTGGTTTGATGGGAGCTGCGGTCGAATGCGAACGAGCCGTGGTAGCGTTGGTATCCGGAGCTCAGCCCGATGGCTTATCGACAGTCAATCCGTTTCGAGCTTCGTGCAGACCAGGGAGATAAGCAAGCAGATAGTCGGATTGTTGGCGCGTCTTGTTCCCCTCGTGCAAACGTAAACGTAAACTTTGCGTGAACTACATTGTCCCGTACCTGAAGTTCAGTCCATGAAGTCCCTCCCGTGGAGATCACTCCGTGAAATCCCTCACGTGAGGTTCACTCCGTAGAGTCCCTTGCGTGGGGTTAACTCCGTGGAGTCGCTGGCGTTGAGTTAAGGTCTTTCTCCATTGAACGCCGCTCGAGCGAGAAGCAGCTCGCTCCGATACTTTTTCTCCGGCGAAATTCCCGAATTCCGACCTTGATCCACCGGGCATCTTTTTTCCTTTCGGGATCCGATTTCGGATGTGACATCCGGAACTCTGAGTCGAAGTCTACGAGTCTGAACCGGGGCCGCTCACATTATCATGAAAAATAGTAAAAGATGCAGACAGATTGATGGCGCTGTCTGCTGATATGATTTTTCAGCCAACGAATTTGTCGAGATGCAGAAATCGGTTTCGATCGATCTTGTAACTTTTCGGGGGACTGCGGAGGGCGGTACTCGAGCTTTCTTTGCTGAAAAGCGACGCCTGTCGTCAAGAACGATAACGTCGAGTGGATCGCGCGGTGACGGTTGGATGACACCGTATTTGATCAAGCCTTTCGAAGGATTTAACCGTTTTCCGTGCCCTGAGTTATGTATTTATAGCGCTGCTGTTTTACAGATGAGCCTCCAGGGAGGCGGGGGAGGAGGTCCTCCCCTCAACCCTCATCAACTGTTGACAGCCGGAGGAGGAGGGGGAGGAGGTGGAGGAATTCAGATAGGAGTGCAGCTTAACAAACGCTGTAATGGACGCCGCAGGACGTCCGATGGCTCCTCGGCCGCCGATCGAAGTATGAACCTAGCGGGGCGACCCGGAATAATCGCCGCTGGGACGTCGGGCGTCGGTCTCCCCGCCCAACCGCAAGACAATAAGAACCGGAAGAACGAGAAGAAGAATGCCAACGAGAAACGGCGACGAGGATCTGTAAGTAAAGAGGATTTAGTGATCTAGAGGTAGGAAAACATATTGGCAGTAGCCTCAACCGATCCCCCGGGCCGCATTCGAGCCTGTGCTCTTAACACGCCTCGAAAACACTCATTTGCTCGAAAGCTCAACCAGAAATCCTTTGACGCGATACGATCCCAAGTGCGGAATGACCTCCAGGATACGATGAGAGCATCATTCCTTCGCGGCATTGGAATTTCGAGCATTAATCCAAGATGAAACGAAGCTTGAGGTATTCCAACTCTCATATGTGAATGCCCGACTCCCTCACTTGATTCGGGACTCGAAACCTCGAGAATTTGAGTCATTTATCAGAGATTTTCCTCCAATGTCCCCCTTGTGCTCCGACCCGTGCCGCGAGAACTACCCCCTTATCTTTACGGGGCGAATACACCGATCGATATTCCGAACGGCTGGAAATATCCGGGGAATCTACGACCGCCGAATATATTTCCGAAGTCCGTTTGTATCTTTCTGTCCGATGCGACCGCTGTTTCGCGGTAAGAAAGCGGTGACCATTGTGAGATTTAACATGGATCAGGTTTATCGGCGCCATCGCGATTAAGAAAGCAAGCTGTTCTACCACCATGCCTTTCGGAAACGCTGCAAAATGAATTTGAGTTTCTCGCGTCAGGGGACCTAATCGAGCTCTTGGAGAGAGTGAGAGAGCTCTCTCCATTCAGGAAGGTCCCCAAGATCTGGAGCAGATGAATCCGAACAGATTGAGATCGAAAGATGGAGGAATACCATCATGACGATAATGACCACGAATAATTTCATTCTTCGGAACGACTGATAATAATTTATGTTTCAGTACGATTTATTTCTTGTGAATTGTACCCACTGCCTGGCCGAATCCATCCAGGCTACGACACATAATTCTCGTCGTGTATTCTGATGAGCTCTCCCTTCACAGGAAAATATATATATGGGACAATTGGCTCTTCTACTTTCGGACCTTGCGGGGAACAATGGGCATTCACCAAATGCACCAGGGAAACCGAAGGCGGACAAGAACGCTGTACTCCAAAGTACGATCGATCAACTTAAAAAATTGCCATGGAACAGCGGGCACCATGGAGGAACGGATCTCCAGGTTCGTCTCATGTAGTCCCAACATCGCACAACGTTTGATGGAATAGACGCTCCGAATCAGGGAATCCTGCCGGGAGCATTCTGCGCTTCGCTCAGTCCTATTGAAACCGTCCCTGGAATGTTCAATATGATTTTCTCAGGGGACGAGCATAAGGGAGCTGCATCAATCAATGATCAATCCTGATCGTTCCAAAGCTGATAACGGTGTCCCGATGGCAGCAGCTGAGCGCGTTTCGGGCTCACCACTCTAAAGAAACTTTCGTTCCAGGGGAACCATGTTTCGTCATCGAGGTCGAACGTCATGGGACTCGACATTCTCGGGCCTCTCGCACTGGAATCGCTAGACGGCTTCATTTTGCTTATCAATCCTGAAGGTCTGATACAATTCGTATCAGAGAACGTGGTGCTCTACCTGGGTCAGACGCCCACAGAGCTCGAGAGGAAAAATATTTTCGAAGTAGTGCATCGAGATGACGCGCCGAAGTTTTCCGCGAGCCTCAGACTGGCTGACGGCCATCAGGTTGCTTCGGTAATTTCTCTTGATGCTTCTCCCGAGCGAATTTTTCCTTCCCGTCTCTCGTCACAACGAATTCCCCCGTCCCGCCTTGTCGAGGTCTAAGTCGCATCGTCAATGCTGTATTGATGGAACTTGCAGATGCCCAATCAACGGAAGCGTGAGTTTTTCTGCAAGTTTCTGTGGAAATCCAACGCCTCGGATAACGGATCTTTCGGATTCGACGACGTGACCCCGGCGAACCATCTCGGTCCTCTGCACAAAGACCCCAACCGAGGTGAGCTGCTCGTGATCGAGTCTTCCGATGTGAATCATGATGGCCATGTTCGTGGACCCCCGTCCCGGCTTGCTGACGAGTTTCTTCCCCTAATCGGTCTCTCTATCTTCCTTCTCAGCGAACTACGTCGAGATGCACCTCATTTCTACAATAATCCCAAAGAATCAAAGTGGGCATTCTTCGAGCTCACCTCCGTCACCAGGCGGCAACGGTCTTCTATCGATCGTTCGGAGAGTGTCTTCAGTCGAGCAGGGCCAGGTATCGACAGGGCTCTGCGTCGTCGAGGAGAACATGAGACAGTCGATCGCGGCTTGCAGCTCGCTGGGAACCCTCGAACAGTTCACGACTCGTTTGAGTACAGACGGAAGAGTCATCGGCTCCGATTTGTTCGGTCTGAGTGAGCCCTATCGTCAAATTTTGGAACAGGCACTCGCAGAGGGTCGTCAATTCGACGAGCTTTGCGATCCTGCGGATCTCGCCGAGTTCAAGAAGCAGTTTCAAGCTGTGCTTGAGTCCGATGGTCATACGGCAACGAAATACTCGCTGAGATATAGTTTGGATAAGCCAGCATTTCGTGTTCATGTACGCTTCAGGAAGTTCAACTCGTCCAACCGCGTTCTCCAGGACGCGCCCTTAGTTTACGTAAATGCGGTCCACTCCATTGTTCCGGTGAGTTCTCGCATCCGCCGTCTTCCAGAGCCCGTCGTCGAGATCCCTATCGATGGAATGGATCTGCTTGCAATCGATTCGATGGAGGAACTTGGAGTCTGAAGATCTGTTCTTTTGCTTGCAGGATGGACTGGTCGAGTTCGATAGGGACGTGCCGAGTGTTTCTCCACAAATGGGCAACCTTGCCGCATCGAATAACCAAAGCAGCCTACTTTCGAATAATTCGAACACCTTGGCATTAAAAAGCGCAAGTGGTTCGGGCAACGGCAGCACGACACCGACCATACCTCAGCCGAATTTGGGATCAAACGACGGAAACAACAACAACAACAATAGTTTCGGAGGGATGGGGAAGAGCTCGGAAAAACTCCGAAATCTCCTCATTCTGGGAAAGTCGGGTAAGGCTTGAGGAGAAATTATCAAGAATATTCCACAATCCCCCCGATATCACAATTCTTGCGTAGGGTTGGAATCATTGAACGACGGCGGATTCGGGAGAGTCCATGACCTTGCAGTCTGGATAATACGGGCTCGGAGTCTAGCCCTGATGTCATTGATTTTTATCTCGATCTTTCGAATTAGCGTGATTGACCCGCTGATGTTCGAATCTAAATCCGTAGGTTGCAATTCGAATTCGGCACCGCCAATGTCGATAGGAACGAGTACCTCAGGGGCTGCCGCAGGCGCCGGGCCCCCAAGCGGCCATACAATCCTGAAGAAGCTCCTGAACAATTCAGGGGAAGCAGGACCTCAAGGACCGGCCGACGGCATAAAGCAAGAGACCAAACGGCAAAGCATATTCCTTGCTGCCAAAAAGGTGCGTTGGAGCTCCCGGACTCAGTCAGTCGATATCGAATAGACACTGCAAGCGACACTTCCATCGTCGAGTGCGATCTCGAGGGATTTCAGCGCACCGGTGGCAATTTTGCGGTTTCCGGAGAGGAACGATTCTGGGAGTTGCGGTAGCTGTTCATTCAGAACGAAACTTCTCTCTAGAACGTCATTCGATCGCTAGCAGTTCAGAACGCCCTTCGTTTTGTCACAATGATGCCGCTCAGGCAATTTCTTACGCAGTGTTGGGTACGCTATGATTGTGAGAACTGTGAATTCTCGCGGAAGACTCGACTGCTTCGATCGCTCGATGTTCAAACGATTCTGTCCTCCTACAGAATGACAATCTGATCGACGCACCGGACAGCAAACGGAGCCGGCCCGACGCTCAACTGGCCTGTCAAAACCCCATGCTAGCGTCGATGCTGGCCACGCCGATGCCTGTCTCAAGTGTTCCGCCGCCAATGACGAATTCAATCTCGCAACTCCCACAAGACCGACTACCAAAAAATCTCGAGCAAAAACTACTGCCAACACCCATACCGTCGACGAGCGGTCAATGTTCATCATCGACGAATACTTTATCGTCTTCTGCAACATCGACGCACCAGCTGATGGCCATGGGACACTGTGAGTTGCTCGAATTATACACCGTAAATGTAGACATCTCGCGCGGCTCGATGGGCGAATGGTTAGCGCGTCTGGAACTCCTCGAGGGAAAAATGCATTGCACCTCGTGATCTCATTCTGTTGCTTCGCCTGGTCTCGCTCGCTTGAGCGCGGAATCCCATTGCCAGTGTCGAGGTTCGAATCCTGAGGCTCGCTGAATGTTCTTACGAGTAGATCGAGATTCAGCCGGAGCCCGTGCACTTTCTGACTGTATCGAAGCAATGACTCCGATCGACCCGACGCTGTCTGCCTTATTAATATCCTATCCCGATACGCGGACCGAGAGGGAAGATTCCGTGCATAGTATCTCTCTAATTGAAGTGTTCGTTCGGCAGCGTCACCCTCAGCGAGCGGAGGTGAATTAGAGCTCTCTCAGATATTCGAAGATGTCTGGAAGTTGGAGCAAGAGAGAACCCAAATACCTTCATCGCCCGCTCCGAATACCCCGACCACTGTAAACTCTCTTAGTAGTTCTCAAGCGTCAAGTGCTATAGAAACATCAGCTGCTCAGCCGGCAAGTCTTCCGAATATTTTTCGATCCTCCACGTTTCATCGATTGCAGGAGCGTGTTCCTCCCGAGACCCACGGACAAACCGCAGCCGATCTAATTCCATTCTTTTTACTCACAGGGTCTCATGCCCATATCTCCAATCACAAATTCCCCGGTGCTTACCTTAATGGGTGGCGGGATGATGCCTCCACTAGGCGGCTCTGAGTCTCCACAGAGTTCGCTCCAAACTCTTCTCACATCTCCAGTACCTTCTCCACGTCCTCAGATTTCCGCTCCCCTAGCCACAGGACACATGATCAAGAGCCCAGGCTCTCACACACCTATACTTGTTGCTCAGAGCTCGAGTCCCTCGATAGTTTTGCCAGGACCGCCAGTCGCAAGTCCGCTCACCAACACGTCTACCCATGACGATCATTCCAATTCCCGTGAGTATTCATTCCGCGCCCTCGTCTCTCGAGAATCGAGATGAAGAGAGTTTTGTATCTGTCGCTCCAGCTCTGATCGAAAATCGAAGCAAAATAAAAACTCCAAATATTGCCTTGCAGCCTCGGTCCTGTCTATTTCGTCGCCATCGAGTTTTCCTCTGGGCGCGAGCTCTCCCCCCCTGGTGCCCCCGGCTGTTCTGCGGAACGTCGTACCACCACAGGTGGTTGCCATGCAGCAGCAACAGCAGCAACAGCAGCAACAGCAGCAGCAGCCGCAACAGCAGCAGCAACAGCAGCAGCCGCAACATCTAGGGAACAACCAAGAAGAACTCGACCTAGAAACGATACTCGATGACTTTGTTGACGAGGCAGCTCCAGCGGTGTCTCCCTTGGATCCCAAACAAGCCATCTCCGCAATCGAACGGCAACTGATGAGCACGAGTAATTCTATCGTCAGTGAACCTTACCTCGGTCCTCCGCGGTTACCTCCGCAATCCATGCAAATGGGTCCGCCCTTGGGCTTGAGTCTGGGCATGCAGATGCAGGTACGCTACGCTCCTTTCTCCCTCCCCATCTTATGGATAGCCAATGTGGGTTTTTACGGAATCATTACTTGCGGTGTCGTCTCCACTCGAAAGCTGGCGGGGCTTGAGCCGCCCCTAGGACTTCCGTTTGACATGCTAAAGGAGAATAGCGAATCGCGATCCCGCGTTCTCAGACCCATGTGGATCCTGTTTTGGAGGATTGAGAGCTCTCCTACGAGAAGAATCGGGCCGAGCGCCTGACAACGTATTCCCTCGCTGACGACAGAGTATCTCATTGTTGGGATCGGAGCTTTTCTAGACGTGTGACTGATTCCTTTGGCAAGCTCCTTCCTCGCGCGGGAAGTATAAACCTCTTTTCAATCCTCAGATACCGACGCAGCAGCAGCCTCAGCTGCAGCAACAGCATCATATGTCCGCAGTCAGCCGCTTGGCCTACCAACAGGGTGGGATGGTGTCCGCCGTACCGCGGACCCAGTTGCGGATGATGGGAGTTCCTATGGGCCACCCAGCAATGGGAGTTGTGGTCCAGCAGCAGCAGCAGCAAGCTCAGCAAATGGCAGGAAACACAAATTTCAAGCTACAGCAGCAGCAGCAGCAGCTCCAGAGACACAAAATGATAGATCCGCAACAAATGGCTCGCCTATTGGCCAACCAACAGAGCCAGCTCATTCCCCGGCAGCAACAACCGTCGCTGAGCTTACAGCAACAACAACACCAACAGCAATCTCAACAAGCACATTTGCAGCTCATTAACGATTCGGTAAGATCCCCTGTTCCCCATCCGCGTATCCGTGTCGGATGTGAATCCGAGTCGGAACGACTGAGCTTCCGATTAGGTTCCTTCCTATTCCTGGTCACGATAGCCGTTCATCTGTCTCAAGTGGGGTCGCTTTGCTCAATTCCAGGAACCTCCGCCCAACGTCAGTCTTCAGCCCGCGTCGCCAAAGTGGCCGATTCCTCCTCGAATGGGCGGACCGATGGTTCCTGGTGCTCAACACCTCCGAGCTCAGCCCCAACCGTACCAACAGGGACCTTTACAGTGAGATATTGTTGCAGCTGAATATTTGTTGATCGGTTATCTCTGCATCCATCAACGTCGATGTTTTCGGTGTTGATGGTCGTGGTCGACACTGTCGTCGTGACTCTCTCTTCCGACCAACCACGTGGCACCAAGCTGCGAAGTTGTTGAAGCAAATAGTCAAGTCATTCGACGAGCGACCGCAATGCATATGTAGCTACGGATTCAGCCATCTCTCGATCTGTGGTATGTGGAATACCGAACCGCGATGACTGACTGCCGAGGACTGACCAATTTCTAGACCAAGCGACTGTAGAAAGACACCCAGACAGAGAAACAGGCGGAGAGGGAAAATACATGTACACACACGGCAGCAGACAAACAGACAGACAAACCTGGCAACCAACCCAAAAACTATTGATCGCGTACAAGTGGCGGGAGCGATGCGATGAGGCTGACCGATGCCTCTCAAGTGTGGAGCGAAAACGGGATGAAACCCTCCTTTCGTGCTCGATCAGGTCGTAATCATGACTACATTGTTGTCCGTGCCTTGCTTGCGACAAATTTCGACGATGATGACGAGGCTTGCTCGCTCGCTCGCTCAACAGTGGATGTTTGTTGTTGTTGTTGTTCTTGTTGTTCTGTTCACCTGACCGACACCGCCGAAGCTCATCGAACAGATCCAGGAGCGGGGAATGGAAAACAAGGAGAATCATGCCGATAGTTTTTATCTATCTATATTCTGTATATTTTTGTCCACCTACACAGCTCAGCAAATCAAGCAAGCAGAACGAATAATCGACAAACAAGCAAAAAACAATTGAATGAACGACCGGATAGCGTTTAGTCAACACGTCGACGCTACTCCCCTTGTATTGTTGTCACAGTTCGTCTACAATAATTCATGATCAGAGCAGAATCGATTTTCGTACTATTCCAGATTTATATTTTATCGAACGCGAGACCGATTGAGCAGCACTGAGTCAGTTGGAAATAGTACCGAGTGATTTCAGAGATAGAAGTCACTTTTCATATTTTCATGAAGAGGATTGAAGTCGGCATCGATTGCGCTCGGGTCAACGTCTATGAGTCGATATTCTCGGAATATGAGGTCGACGATGATAACATCGAGTTGAAAGGTGGTACCGATCTTGTGGTCGGCGGACTTAGAACCCCTTGATTTTCCGCTCAATGCGACTAGGTTCCGAAACCGACGAGAGCGAAATGCTGAAAAGCACCTCACCACGGTTGCTCGCGAAGGTATTACCCTACGGCTTCTGTGAGATTAATCGAGACATTGAGCGCGGCGCGACATTTTTCCTTCGGGATAGTCACATGTCACAGACAGAGGGAGAAACACCAGATGGAAACGTCTGAGCGGACCACTTGGATTCTATGAACACAAAGAGCGAGACACGGTTAGGGGAGTCGTTTTTTTTGTACAAAGCTTGATAATATACACGAGAAGGAATTGACTACAGAATCACCCTCCGTCGAAGACCTCTCTGTTCTTTTACTTTCCAATCACCATCAATCAACGACTTTATCAATCAATCGATCGATCAATCAATCAATCGTCGCTATTCCGGGATGGGGGCTCGAAAACGGCTTCAAAAGCAGGAGTTGGTCTCCCACGATATCATTGTTATCACTGCTACCGTTGATTGTTCTTGATTATACTCCTGGGTTGAGATGACGTTCCTCCGATCCTTGATCCCTCCTTTTTCGTTTGTTGCATTGTCATCCGGAACAATCCATTGCGGTGTGGAGCTCCGGGTGACGCCCGACCGAGCGTGCTGTCCGCGGGCGTGATGTCCGCCCGATTTTTAACTGCTCAGCGAAAGCATCCGCGTGCTCTCCCGACTCACCGGGCTGGGAGAAATCAGTTGACACTCCGGTGAGGACAACAGGCCCTCATATACGACCGGAAAACGAGAAAAAAACGAGAGACGCTTGGTTTTCGGGCGGGACGAAGGGCAAGGAGAGGAACGATGTGAAGGATGACTACTTCAAGTTTATTTTGTTTCATCTTGTAAATTATACGAGAGTCAGGAACTTAAGAATGTCTGGAGGTCAGACAACACAGAGACACACACAAGTCCAACCGGCAGCCGGGAAGGACCACCTCACGGGGTATGATGACGGGGTATGATTCGAGAGGTTGGACGGAGCAGGGAAAATTACGAGACAGCGATCGATTGAAGGCTTCTCTGCGTGCAGACACACAATACTGCGGGCTTTAATAGTAGCGAGAGGTGTGAGCGACTTGGGGACGGTGGTGCAGAAAGCGGAAAATGTAAAGGAAGAATTCCAAGGGCTCCATTGTTTCCACGAGAGGCTCCGAGCCCGCTAAGAGATGCGATGGAGCCAGGGAGCGGAGCATTCGAGAATTCGCTACCTGGAAAGAGATACTTGTATTTTTCTCGTCGAACATGAATATATATTGTCATTATTATATTCATCTCCATTATCATGAATGAGGCTAGCTGCCGCTTTGTTCAATCCTTTGGCTCAAGTTTTCTCCCTACACCGACGGAAGGGTCGTGGGAAATTTTGCCCGAAATAGACAGTCCAACCGGAGTTCCGGGAAGGGCAACCATCCCCTCAATCACCCACCCCCATCGAGAAACCCACACGCGCATCAACACTCCCAAAACAAGAGGATACACCCTCACACGGATAACACAGAATATTGATCGGCGGGCTGTCGTCAGAGAACAGTCTCTCAGGGGAAACTGTAAGATCCAGCGGATTTCAGTCGTTCGTGTAGAAAGACGCATTCGAGGGCTCTGTGATAAGGGGAAGAATGGAGACGAAAGTAACTGTGTTACCTAATCGACAAAGAACCCTCATGATTTTTTGCTGCGGAATCAACAAAACGGTCTAAACGGCGAGCCTCTCTCAACGTGATCACCCAATCTTTCGAGTACCGTGATTTCAGTCTGAGTGAAACTCAGGTAAACATTGAACTAGAAATAGGAAAATGAAGAGCGGGAGACAAGATACGGAATCTGCATCAAAGAGAAGGAGCGAAAGAGGTAGACCGTAAGAAACACTTGGATAGATATATATGCGATTATGAATTACGGAATTGAAACGAGCGGCATTAATTTACTATACTGATGAGTGTAAATATAATATATATTTATTGTAAATACAAATCAAAATCAGAAACAGACGCGGGAGCGACTCGAATGAAAATAAGACGAAGGAGAGAAACCTCAACATAAACAAAATATTTAGTGAACATTTAGTGCTGACGGAACGATTGATTTGAATAACGAATGAAATACTCCTCCCGTCTGTCGGGTCGGTTTCGCGAGCGTACTTCTATTTTGACAGCGTTATGAGGTATATCGTATAGATATTGTAGGGAACCTATCGAAACTGTCCGACGGGTGAGGAGGTCCCAAACCCTGCGATTGCGCTGACTGTAGATCCATTTGATCTGATTTGTTCAATTCTTTGGTCACCAAGTTGAATGCGCTGAAAATGCAGATTTTTCTAAGCCGATCCACCTACAATTTAAATTCGTAACTTGTCTACTCCTGCGTTCTGATGATTTTTGATGACTACAATGCTGGATAAAAGTCTGTAAATGTATGTTACTTCTAATGAAAAAAGAAAAAATCGAGAAGCTGGAGAATAAATACCTGTAATTGTACCGACTGAATACGCTCTCATTGATTTTCGTGGCACGAGGAGACGCCGAGAATCGGACAGTGATTGGGAGCTCAGGCAATGTAGGTTTTCAATCGAAATGAAATTTCGGGTATGCGAGGTTCTGCTGCAAGATCTAATGCCTCCATTAGTTTGTATTTATTCTTCGTCAGAAGCGGACGTTCCGATTGTCCTGGTAAAGCACAGCTCGCAGCGATGTCGAATATGTTCAATTGGTGTTTCGCAGAGTTCTTCTTGGCTTTCCGCAGGTATCCATTCGGGACCACAGGAAGACACAAGGCTGGCGTATTCCTCCTCGGAAAGCCTGCCACGCTCCGTATCATTCTCGCTATTTCGGTTCTCACAGCTCGCTCTCGACGGATAGTGGGAAGGGAAACCTCCGCTCCAGCGTGTCTACCCGAGGGGGCACCCGAAGTCTACAGACTCTAATTTCTGGAAAACAAGCGTGAACTGACTCATATATCCATTCCGTCATCTCACCCGGGAACTCTCAGGCTCGAAATCCACGCTCGATTTCTTCAAGATCTCCTTCAGCATGATACCAGCTCTATTGTTTGTCCTGACCGGAATCCGGAAATCAATTAGATCGAGTAATCAAAAGCCCGAAGAGTGCCCCCTCGTCTTCATCCAAGCACCATATGCGAGGCTTCGCCGGATACGAGACCACTTTGCTTATTAGTTTTAATAGTGTCATCAGAAGGGGTGGATGTTTCCGTCAATGATTCATTTTGGATTGCCCTCGCTCGCTTCCACAATCTCGTTAGCTTAAGTGCAATGCGTCGGCGAAATCATTTTCACGATAAGATAATCTTCATTATGAATATAGATCGCTAAAATGCGAGGTTCTTGTCCGCTCGCGGATGAAGAAGGGAAAATACACCCACTCATCCCCGTGAGCGTCCGCGACCAACATTCTCTAAATCCGGTGCAATCTTCAAACTGTGAAGTATCGCAGCGTGCTCCGACGTGATACCGGTTACGAACTGGCGTGAGATACACACCGATTTCTTGAACGACCGCTCGTTCTCATGCAGGAATCGTCGACAGTCGTTTCCATCCTAGGCGGACAAGCCTGAGTTCGGCTCACGATTCGAAGCAGCGGGGCCCCACGTTCCCGGCTGGTATACGAGAACAGGTTTCCAGGTTTCCGTATCGAGTTCATTGAATCGTTGAAGAGATCGGGAGGGAAAGGATCGGCGCCGACCGGTTAATCTCCGACCGTCGAACATGTACCGCGGTCATCAAGTCCGACCGGCCTTCGATTGATGCGTGTTATAGTTGTTCAGCTCAAGGTTTTGATTCTTGGGACTGAGGCTCCCTGGCGAGAAACTTCATGGGTCGTGT